GTCAGTCTGGATGGTAATGTTAAAATTCAAGGATTACCTTGCACCTTCTCAGAAATTTACCATTGATCATATGTATTACAAGTGGCTGGATTGTTTTTAACACAAGCAATGATTTAATTTTTTAAATTATTATCTTAAACAGATTAAGGCTCATTTTGGACTACACTTACATTACTTTACAACTGCTTAATGCAGTACTGATGTATCTAGTAGTTTAGTGGGTTTAACTAATGTCACATCTGTTTTTATTCATTTCAGATGCAGAAACTTTTGACATATGAATTCATCTTGACTAAGGGTAATGTTTTTGTTCAGAATTAATCATTATTTAAAATCATTGTATTTTCTTTGTTATTATGTACAGATTTTAAAAGAATGTACTTTCTTTTAATAAAGAACTCTTCACAGCACTGCATCTGAACAGTCACAACCTCACAGAGCTGCACAACTGCCCCACTCAGATCAGTGTTGAAGCTGGAACCTCATCTTGTGTACAGCAAAGGCAGAGCTGAAAATTCACTGTTTGTCTTGTATTGTGTGGTAAGTCATAGTTTTATTAATTTTTTTATTTTATTGCAACACTAAGTAGTCCATTCTGTGGCCAATATGATATAAAGGGCCTAAAATGGGACTGACGTGATCATTGTTTTGATTTCTAGATAAGTACTCATGGGGCTACACATGCAGCTGAAGTTAGCTTCATTGAGTAGGACATTTCTTTCAGTATACTCCTAAAGAGATTCACCCAAAAATGAAAATTCTGTCATTATTGACTCATCCTTCACTTGTTCCAAATATGTCTGACTTGCTTACTTCAGTTAAACACAAAAAAATTATATTTTAAAGAAAGATGAAAACCTGCAAACATTAACTTCCATAGTATTTGTTTTTTCCTACTATGTATGTCAATGTTTTCAGCTTTCCAGCTTTCTTCAAAAACTTCCTTCATGTTCAACACAAAGTAACTTGAAAGTTTTTAAAAAAGGTTTACAACCACTTGAGGGAGAGTAAATAGTGAACTGTTCCTTTAACCCAATCTAGTTGACTTTACTAGAAAATTGTATAGAAACCCAGTGGCTTAAACCCATTACATTTTATACAAGGTACAACTTAACAGCCATAATTGAATTAAAATGTTACTGTAAGTTCAAGAAGATTGTAAAGGTTCTAGGTTAATTTAAAGTGGGCTGTTTAGTTTCACCTTGTGTAAAAACATAAAGGATTTAAGGCAACATGTTTCGATGCAGTTTTCTAATAAAGTCAACTAGTTTGGGTTAAGAGTGTAATGGGTTACAGTAATAGCAGTGAATAATGCAGGCATAAAATAAATGTTTAGCCATGTAAAGCAATAAGCTTGTTATAATTTAGAAATATTTTAGGGTGGAGCACAGTATGCTGTTGTAGTTTTTATATAATTGATGAGTCAAACATGAGATGTGTTTTAAATTGCAAGACGTGAATTAACAATATGTTCATCAAGATTCAAATCTTGCATCTTATATTTTTTAAGGTTTTGGCCCAATAATACCCATATTCTGCTATTTAAAAAATCATGCTGGAATTTGTGTCAGCATTCCCTTCAATGAAAACTACAACAGTGGACATCAGTGGTGATAAAAATGTATGTGAAGGATAAGGGTGTTCATAATGAGAAGTGCAGTTACTATCCTGATCTCTGAGTTTGTAAAACTGACAGATCTGCTTGGAATAAATGGAAACATGCTGGAAATGTTTAACCTATTATACAGTTAATTCAAGAGTGCCAGGTTTAATGACACTTTACATATATAAATAAATATCACTGAACTTTCTAAATGAAACCTAACACTCATTCTTTGTTCAGTAATGATGTTGTGCACTTCTAATACTTTACAGTGGCAAAACCTGGAATAACACATGGGAGCCCTCCAGGAATTGCTGACACTTTACGCCCAAGTCTCCTCATGCTAACCGGATTGCAATATGACAGTCTAGTCAGCATAAACACCTGGACTCACCAAGCACACTTTGGTTCTCAGTGTTTTGTAAAAATAGTTTTTGCTATTCTTCAGTAAATACTTGAATATGTTTTGAACTTATTCTACTTTTGATGTTTAAGTTCAGAAAGTTGTTATTATAAACATAATTTGCATTTGTCATGAACTTGACTTCTTGTTGTTGTGAAAGCTGTTTATTATAATGGCATTTCCAAAGGCATCATTTGAAAAGATTTTTTGCAGTGCAGTTTTACTTGAGCTTGACATACCAGATGTATGACATGAATAAATATCACAAAATAAATATAATAATAATAATACAAAATATACATTTCCTTCAATTATAATTTAATCATTTATATATGTATGGTAATATATTATTGCATTAAAAACTTATAAAATATATATTTTTGGTTAAAATATATATTTTTGCATTTTTGTGTGATTTTTATTATTTATTTTTATTTGTGGCATTATAAATAAATTATAAATGTTTCATTAAAAATGTATTGTGTTTATTTGCATACTCATTTACAATGAACTACTATTTATACTATTTAATGGGCACTATATTTGTCATTTAAGTTTGACATATATTTATATTTGTATACCTACATGATGCAGGGTTTAGTTACAGCAAATGCTTGAAATGTTTTCAAACATGAAGCTTTTTTATTATTTTATTATTCGTTTCAAATTAAGTATACTGCCTATGATCTGGTTTTACTATGATCATTTTGCACATCAGGTTACCCCCACAAAGTAATCTCACGGTAAATATACATTTGTATTTTAATAAGACAATAAATAACATGTAATATTAATACACATTTTGATATTTAAGTTATATTATAAGGTTATAATCAACCTTCAGCCGGAAGATTACCAAATAGAGACAAATTGTGACGTAGATTGCGACGTTGTGATTGGACTATAACTTCAAAGCCAAATTAAAAGATCCTTCGTGTTGCTAACTATGTTTTGCTAACTTTGCCACTTTACTAACAGTGTCCTTTATCAATGAGTTATCACTGTGTTTTAAATAGTTACCGATTAACCAAGATCGTAACCCTAAACTTAACCCTAACTACACCTTTCAAGGAACTACAATTTGTAGCGCCATGTCTTTCCCCTCCCATCTATACAGCGACAAAGGATTGTGGGTAATGTAGTTTAAAGCCTTTTTGTAATAAAATGGAACAGATACAAATTTTAATGAACTAAAGACTATCTGAATAAGGTCATTGTGCATATATTTATGACATATATGAAAGCCAGGCATAAATTTGTTATTTTACAATGAGTATTTTTTAAACAGCTTTTATTGACTTGATCAGTATATATCAGACTATTATATCCAACATTATTTATTGAACATAGCATAGGTAATAGTCTTGCTGATATTCTCTCACTCATTTCTCGTTTGAAATGTGAATACTTTTTCCTTTTCTACGGGGCTCTACTCATCCCCTTTGAGTAAAAGGGCAGTTAACCTATGTAGATGTATTATCTTCAACATGGACAAGAAATTGTATTGTCACATGTACAGTTGTGGTAAAAAAAAAAAAAAAAAAAAGCTGTAAAAATAAGCTAAACATTAGTATCCTCTTTAATTACAAGTTATTAGCAATAGTGATCTATGTTCATCACAAATGTTATGAGTTCTGAATAATATGTGTGGATGTAATTCTGAAAGTGTGTTTCATTAATGGTCATCATGTGATATTTAATTGTTTTCACTTTATTTGAAATATGGATAAAAGCTCTTTTAAAATATGTAAATGTTTATAAATAAAACCTTTTTAAAGATGTATTTGTTTAAAAACCACTCTTTATCTGATTATTTTTACTTTCTAAATCTTCAACTGTTTGTGTAACAGTATGATTTGATGACAATGGATGAACTTGTGTTTAATAATGATTCCACATAATGTCTTTGTCCTGCATGTGGGTTAATTTGTTAATTATTTTCTTTATGATCAAATGATTGTAAGATTTGCTGCATTGTAAGAATCATGAAAATATTGAGAAATGAGGTAACAATGATGAAAAGATACCCTTTCAAATGCTTCGAATAGTTCAAACCTCCAAATGATTAAAAATACATAGCCATTAACCAACAAAATAAAAATGCAAACATTCAAATTATCTAAACTAGAAGTAAAATAGTTCTGTGCTGTATTTATAAGTTACTGTGTAGTTCTATGTCTACCAAAAATACATATTTCAATACATATTTTATTTTCATTCATTCATTTTCTTTTTGGCTTAGTACCTTTATTAACCAGGGGTCGCCACAGTGCTATGAACCGCCAACTTTTCCAGCATGTTTTTATGCAGCAGATGCTCTTCCAGCCGCAATCCATCTCTTGGAAAATATTTTATTTTTTATCTTGCATTCAATAAAACATTATACAAAGTTAATGTTTTAAGTTAATACAAATGTTTCAAAGTAAGGACAAAAATAAAAGGAGATTAATTTTTTTTTTTTTTTTAGAAAAATCCATGAGGACCAAATAGATCCATCAGATCTTTGATGTAAATCATAGGTTATTTTTTTCAGAGGTAGAAGTCTGGTTGCCTGACTCAGCCACATATTGACTGGAGGTATCTGAGCAGTTGACCATAATAATGTACATTTTTTGCCCAAGTATATGCAAAAATTAAATTTATCATAAAAATGTATCATAAAATTAATATTTTAAAAGCTCTTAATGTCACTTAATGTTATAATTTCATTTTAATATAGAGTTCCTTAAATCGTTATATGTTGTAAGCAGTTAGGCATACAATAATGCTCTTAATTTACAACACTGATTGATTTTAGAGGAATGCTTACATACTGTACATATCTATGTATTTAAAAAAAAGACAATTTGATTATAGATGATGACAATTTTATTTAATTTTTTACAGATTTTATTACATGCTTTAGATTCAGGGTTAAGGTCATCCTCTTCTGGATTACAGTAAAAGAAAATCCACAGTCAATGTCATACTCATCAGCTGGAGCTTTATTTAAAAAAAATCTATGTTCTCTGCTCCAGCCAAAACTTGCAGGTACCTTGCAGGTCTCTAGATTGCACCATCGTATTGTTGTTTATTTCTCAGTTATTTTGTTGCTTTCTGAGAATGATGATCCATAGACCTTTCAACCCCTCTTCGTTAAGGCCACATGTCGAATCTTAAAAGAAGAACACAACAACATAAAAATATATTAATATCCTTTGGACTGGGTAACCTTATGCTTATGTCTGTGCCAAAAAATACAAATACATACCAGTACATTTCAGTAGCAAACAAGCAAGAAAGTTCTTTGAAAGAACCAGGATGAGTTGAAAGGTATTTATAGTGGTTGACCATCTCTGCCACAAGAATCCACTGCTTCTCCTGAAGAATCCTGACTAGCAGGATGATGTTGAACACCCTCCTCTTTGTTGCTGGGTCAGCAGAGTCTGAAATATATTTATGAAAAGAAAGTTGTATAACAAGGATTATACGTCAACTTTTAAAGAATCAACACTGACAGAAGTCTAGTGTACATACCATGCAATATGACGAAGACATCCACATCACTTCTTCTTTTTGTTGTCTTTGCTTCTGCTACTGAAAAAAAATGACAGTAATAGTAACACAATTTTTCATGACTACATGTAATATTAATAAGAATTTCCTCACCCTCTGCCCACTCCTCTACATCACAGACCAAAGTCTTCCAATTGGTTTCCAGTCACTGCCAGTTCCATGGATTCTGTTTTGCAACTTGCTTTGCAGAGCTGTTGCGGTCTACAGTGATAAGCAATCAAAAAATCAAAATACTATTTAAATAGGTTACTGAACAACTAAAACAAATTCTACTGGATATTGTTACCTTCTGATATCAGCAGGTCAGCGAGATGGCCAAATTGTTGAATATCTGCTAATTCCAGCACATGACCATGAGAGTTACAGTAGCATGTCTGGTCACTGCAATCCTATAGAAGAAATATTGCACTGTTCAACCTCCTTCCCAAGAGTAAAACCAGGCATATCCTGGTATGCCTCACTCCATTTCACCTGGTTAACATATACAAACAAACAAACAAACAAACAAACAAATAAATAAGTAAACCAATAAGTTTTGGCATTTACCTGTAGATCAGTTTAAGATAATCATATAGCTCATCTATCTCAGATATAAACTCATGTGCTTAGGCATGAAACACACTAAAATCATGGGCTTAAAGATGGTGCTGAAACTTTGGACAGCTTTTTGCAACTCATTTGGAGGTAGTGTCATTAGTTGATGTAGTCCACAAATCTTCCTGTCAATCCTTAATCCTTAGCTGTAAATAAACCTAATTTTCTTAGGTGAACATCACAGAGCTGTTTTCTTGTTAATTTAGTTTCAACACATACAGTTTAAAGTACCTCGTGCATTCTTGAAATGGTTATGCTTATGGTTCATATCTACTTAAATTGGCAGTATATCTAGTGTGAAAGCAGGACAGATGAAGGGCTCTTCCTTGCAAATACTATCCACCTTGTATTGCACAGACTCCCACTCAAGAATATCTCAGAAAAATGTCTGCTGAGATCTTAGCAGTCCATTAAAAATAATTATACCAACATCTTTTCCACCAATGGAAAGAATATAAAAATATTTTAGGATATATTAATACTTGCATGACCAAATCTGAGATAAAAAGGCCACCAGTATGACTTAGTTTAAATAAAACCAAAATTTTACTCTAGCCCACTGTCACCTAGGTCTACAGATACAGGGACTAATGGAAACAATGAAGTACACACTGACAGTCACTGGAGCAAGGCTCTCTCACAGTTGGGAAGATTGGAGTTCCTATGAGCTGTACCAGATAAAAACAACAAAAAAAATGTACATTTATAACATTTCTAACTTATCCTAAGACTAGTAGACAAGCAGCATAAGCAGTTCTAATTTCCTAAACCCCAATGTGGGCAGTTGATGGCCTATAAGGTGTCATAAAATCAGACAAAACAAAATACTTTCTGAAAAAGAAAAAAATGGTTGGCCACTATCAACACCCAGAACAATTAGTTTTAAACAGTTAGGCCACAATATTTTGTGAGCTTATGCTGTAGTTTTTTAATGTTTTTCATAAACAATAGTAATAGTAAAACTAATGCGTTTCTTTCTGTTATTACAATAGTAGTGAAAGAATAAATGCATTTTATTTCATACAATCATATATGCCTAAACAATGTAGATATTTAATATACATGGAATGAAAAACTTCACTAACCCTTGACTGATTCCAGAGTGGTCTTGGCCTTCCTTACATGGTGGGGCTTTCTGCAGATCACCAAGTTGTCATCAAAACTTGAGCTTATAATTGAGATCTTGATGATAAATCTGAGTATCAAGGAATCACTCATGGTGATAGGCAGAAACAGGCTGAAAGACACAAGAATTAATCAAACAAATATAAATGTGTTAACAGAGATAGAGAGAGAGACAAGTGCAATTTAACATATAAACATGGGTAAAGTGATTTTACTTTTTGCTTATTAGAAAACAAAATTGGATTTTTAAAGAAATCTAAAGAACCTGAAAAGAGCAAAGAAAAAATATTCATATCTGAACAGTGAACACCTTATAATGTACACCTGTATATATATATATATATATATATATATATATATATATATATATATATATATATATATATATATGTGTGTGTGTGTGTGTGTGTGTGTGTGGTAGATTAAGCTATTTTTTTGTTTAGTTTTGTGTTGTACAATGAATAAAATGTGCTCAGACGGACAAAATATCTGCCTTTTTCCTTTAAAGGCATGGAAAATAATTGTTTTTACAATAAACCTTTGGAAACACTTGATGTTCTTTAATATTGTAACAATTACGAATACATTTGTATTATTAGAGTTGCATATTGCATATTATATATAGATTTTGCACGAATTCTATTGTGGAAAACAACAATCTGGTTACACTGTTCCTTATCTTAAAATGTATATATTGTTCTAATGCATGACCAACGTTATATGTGAGAAAAATATGTTTTTAATAAATGAACTTGATGTAATTAGATAACGTCGCTAGTTTACAGTACATGCTTTATCAACAAATCGTGTTTATTTGTTTACTTTTTACTTACCTTGTGGAAAACCGCAGTGAACCTTGGGATCGCAATGAACCTTGGGATAGCGAGCATAGACTGTAAAAAATAGATCGCCACATACAATGACCCCAACTTTAATAAATAATTTAAAATTAAAAATATCAGCCGAGCCGAAAACATTTTTAAACTTAGTACTTGAAATTTAATATTTTTTTAAAGTAAAAAAATAATAAATAATATGAATGAATCAACCCAGATAGCAGGCAGTAATCGGCCCGAGCTCGGCTGCCCTCCGGCGCCTCCGGCTCCGACTCGGCATCGGCGAGTGTTATCCGGGCCGAGTGCGGCCCGCAGCTCGCTCGCGCACATGCGGTTGTGATGCGGCTGTAAAGCACTGGCCCGATTCCGGTCAACCATATGGCAACCGATTAAGGCTGATGGCAACCGATTAAGTCCTTTATTTATCTAGTAATCTGTTAGCTCCACGTTTAATGATAATTTGAGAAAATATTCATGGTACGATAGCAAAAAAAAAAGAATATTTAGTGTGGATGTTCGCAATGTTTAGACGCAAACAAAACAATATTATTTATAAATAGATTATACATGTCATCTAGAGAAAAACTATGTAAAATTCGCTTATTTTTGAGATAGCACGCTCCTGTGCTGACTGTTTTTGTTTTAAAGCAGAAGTTGGTTTCATAATAAACACATGCGTGACTCATGATCCACACTCCAATCCAGACGGTGGCGGTAATGCTCCAAAAAGCTGGTTGTCAACCACCATGGCACGAAGATCACAAGAAGAAAAAGTTTTTTTTTTTAAAGACTTCACGTGAATTCCGGTCAGAAAGGTAAGCTTTTTACGGCTTGTGTACTGTATAATTAGCGAATTTAGAGCTTAAAACATTTCCACGGTGTTTGGTTGTAACAGCGTTTAGTAATTTAAAACAGTTTGATACGAAATGTAACTTGCTTTAAGAAACACGACTGGAGCTAATGTATGCTAACGCTAACAGTTACAAACACGCCTGAAAGTTCATTTTCCTTTAACACAATGTTAGATTGTAACGTGTGTAGTAACTGAAAACTATTTTAATTATTTTAAAGAAACATGAAACGAATTTGTGTGTATGCTAACTTTGCGTTAAAGAAAGTTTCTGTAGACGAATCCATTAACTAACATGGCAACGTGTTTTTTTTCCTGATTTAACATTATAAAGTAGCGTGGATGTTGAAAAAATCATTGTACAGGCGTACAACTTATCCAACAGTATTAATTCTGTGATTGTGTAAATAAAAACTAATCGTTTTGGATTAATAAAATATTATTGTTTATCTTGTTTATGCAGTTAGTCACGAAAAGTGATCGAAACTCGACTGTTTACTATTCTCTTTAAATTATCCAAGAGAAATATATTACTATGCACTTTAATTCATATGTGTTAGCCTATGTGAATCAATTATATCTTTTGTTCAAGCTGTAATGGTCAGTGAATGTAAAACTGAACGTCTTAAAGCAGATTTTGATGTTTTTTTTTGTTTTTTATGTTATTGACGGTGATAAATTCTGATTTAAATGAATGGGTAACAATATTTGTTGGTTAAGTCTCATTGTTCTTGTTTAACAAAGGTTAGTGAGATCATTTTGCAGCACATCACGACCAAGTCAATGGCACACTCTTTTGAACGTGAATAGGCATGTTATAGTTGTGTGCTAAAAGTCCATTATAAGCTGTAAACTGCTGATACATTTTCAACATAGATTGAGCTTTTCAGACATTACATTACTAATTGCTTCACAAACAGCTGAAATGGTTTATTGTTATTGGCTATCATCATCAAACATTTTTCACAATGGTAGGTTAATCTTCATGGGTACAGAATAATGCATGTGCTTGACCATCTTACAAATCTATGTCTCAGATTCATAAGGCTGTCACTCTGCATGAATCTCAGAATAAATCTTGTGCAACCTTCTGTGTACTGATTATTTACACTATAGGTATTATATGCATTAATTAACTTTGATAGTATTTCAGGATTTGAACTTTTCTTTACGGGAGGTTAACAACAATGTGATGTTTTATTATAGATGCATATGAGGAAGCTCGACTCAAACATCCACACGCAACTGTGATTTCTGACTGGTAGACAGATGAGGACGATGATTGCCTGTCATACATCCCAAGACAGAACAGGTTTGTTTGCTATTATTTTAAACACATACTGTCAACATTGTCATTGATCTATTACAACCTGTGAGTTTTGCCCTGGCACTATACTAAAGTGATGTTTTGTTTTGTAAATGTATCTGATCAAGGGACAGTATAGACGCATCTATACCATGATGAAGAAAAATTACTTGGAACAAAGAGGCTGGATAAAAGGCAGGTATGAAGATTTCAGAAATCAATGCAGCACCACAAGTACCATCACCATCAATGACTATGGCATAAATCTTAAGACCACCATGAAGATGCACAGATACTGTACATTCCAGTACACCAGGCGTGTCCAAACTACGGCCCGCGGGCCAGGCTTTTTATAAATATCAATAGAATCTGGCCCGCTATACAAAAATGAACGTAATTCAATAAATAACCACCGGGTGTCGTTATTACATGCATTCAATTAAGCAGCAGTTCTTGTTATTATCTATCTATCTATCTATCTATCTGTCTGTCTATCTATCTATCTATCTATCTATCTATCTATCTATCTATCTATCTATCTATCTATCTATCTATCTATCTATCTATCTATCTATCTATCTATCTATCTGTCTATCTATCTGTCTATCTGTCTGTCTGTCTGTCTGTCTGTCTGTCTGTCTGTCGACACACAGTTGAAGTCTGAATTATTAGCCCCTCATTGATTTATTTCTTCTTTTTTAAATATTTCCCCAAATGATGTTGGAGAAAGACTTATGTTTTATTTCGGCTAGAATAAAAAGCGGTTTAAATTTTTTTATGAACCATTTTAAGGTCAAAATTATTAGCCCCTTAAGTCTTCAGAACAAACCATTGTTATAAAATAACTTGCCTAATTACCTTGACTAGTTAACTTGATTAACCTAGTTAAGCCTTTAAATGTCACTTTAAGCTGTATAGAAGTGTCTTAAAAATATCTAGTCAAATATTATTTACTGTCATCATGACAAAGATAAAATAAATCAGTTATTAGAAATGAGTTACTAAAACTATTATGTTTAGAAATGTGTGGAAAAAAAATGTTTAACTCTCCGTTAAACAGAAATTGGGGAAAAAATAAACGGTGGCTAATAATTTAGGGGGGCTAACAATTCTGACTTCAACTGCATTTATATATATATGTGTGTGTGTGTGTCTGTGTGATGTATGTAAAATTTGGCCCGCGACAACGTTGGTTTTTTTGCATCTGGCCCTCGGCCCAAAAAGTTTGGACACTCCTGCAGTACACCAATGAACATTTACAGTCTTTGTTCTAGTGCAGTTTGAGATCAAGACATAACTTATTGCATCTCGTGATGTCTTTGTAAGAATTGAAGACATCACTAAATTTGTTAAGGTTTAATGCAGCTAGAAAGTAAAGATCAACTAGAGAATATCAGCAGTGTCTAACCCACTGTTGTATTTACAGAAGTTGTATGAGAATAAGCTACAGGTTGATTTATACTAATCTGTTATTTTTCTTTTTTAGCACGACTGACTGAAGTTTTAAAATCATGCAACGTCATAAAGCAGCAGCTGGGCCTGATTCTCACAAAACCAAAACAGACGTGATAAAATTCCAGATGTAAACACATTTGACCTTCCTTTGGCCAATTTGATTTGGAAAAGCTTGAAAATCAACTAAAGGAGCAGCCCGAACAAATGAAGAAACTGGTAAGTTCAAGCTCTTGCTAATTTCAAAGTGTTTTAAGTTTATTTGTTTTTTTTATTGGTTTTTTTTGCTTCGTAGGTAGCCTACTTTTTTCCTAATTGTTTCTTTTTTTTTTACATTAGTACTTGTTCACTACTAATTATCTGTTTATCTTTTAATCACAGATGGAGTGAGGACAAATGTCCATACCACGCCACTGATAAAGAAGTGGAAAAATGCATTACAAGGTAGCTACAACTTGCCCCTGACAGGGATGGAGGAAGAAAGAAGAGAAAGCTAATGTGTCAAATGTCTACATCACTATTTTGTTTTATTTTTTAAACAACATTTTAAGTGTATTAGGATGTTCCCTGATACTTGAACAATTTGTTTCTTTCATTTGCATTTATATATATATATATATATATATATATATGTATATGTATATATATGTGTGTATGTGTGTGTGTATATATGTATGGTATGTAGGTATGTATGTATGTGTGTGCGCCAAATTCTGAAGAAACATCTTGATACATTTTTAATAAACGTAATACAAATAAAATTATAAATAT